AGGGATATGCCTAGAGAGAAAGAGAGGGGGCTGCAAGGCGCGCTTACAGCTTGGTGTTTTCTATGGTCTCCATGAAGAGAATTATATATATAGAAGATAGATTCTACTTTTCAGTAATTCATATATTTTTAAAAATTCAATACTACCAATGCTGCGACTGAAAATGTTTTGTGTGTTTGATTGTAAGAGAAATAGAACTCCGCCTTGATGATGGTTTAAAAAATTCAATTATAAATAACTTTTTAAATTTATACATTTATTTGGCGACAAATTTCGAGCACACCATTTGGTCCCCACCCCCTACCCCATCCCACCACAGTACACTTTAGAGGACAGGTCGTACAGTTATATTGCCAACGTTGAACGTGTTTCGTTCCCCCTATTAGGCTATCAAAGTTAGCAACGAGTCACAGTTTTGCCTATATTTTATTTACACTACAGTTTGTGTAGTGGTTTTTAATGTTTGCGGAAGAGCGTGGTTGAGAGAATGTAAAATATGTATAAAAGTACCGCAGCTGCATTATTACTTTCTCGTATATACGAAGTATAGAGAAAGTCTTGTAATCGTGCAAAACGGAAAAACATAATTTTGAAATCTTGTCTGTATGTCTGTGTGTCTGTGTGTCTGTCTGTGTGTGTGTGTGTCTGTGTGTGTGTCTGTGTGTGTAAACACGATAACTTGAGTACCGTTACAGCTAGGTTGATGAAATTTCATATATAAGTATTTTATCAAAATCGTAGATCAGTATCAACTTTTGAGCGATTTCCGATAACAGGAAGTGGTACTTTTTCTACTTTGAATTTTTCAAAAGCCTATAACTTGAGTACTCTTCAGATAGATAAATGATATTTAACTTGTAAGTAAAAGATCTAATTCTCTACCTTCTGTCAAATTTTGAGTAGTTTCCGTTGACCGGAAGTACCAATTTACGCTATTTCCGATTTCTCAAAAAACGCATGTACATTTATAAAGTACTAATTATATTGCGCACTATTATGCACATTTTGTTTTGGCGTTCGCTTGGTGCGCAATTCTTTTTTTCTACTAGATTCTATTCTATTTTTAAAAGTTTAAGTAAACAAAAATCGTGTCTATATTCCGAGTTGCCATCCGACGTAGTGCTATATTAGAAAATTCGAGAAAGTTTAGGGGAGATCACTCCCGGTTTTTTTTACAAACCAAATACGAAGGCAAAAATGCACGAAAATTAAATTTAAATTTGTAAAAATATAAACTATAGTCGATTGTGGTTCCCCTCAACGGCCTGGGTCCTCTGGCGGCATGGTAGTTTCGCGCCTGCCACGCATACACACCACACATACAGTTATTCATGCTCACGTACACACGCACATCAACAGGGGTGATAACATTTCATTAAAACTTTCGCTACAGTCAACCCGGTAAATTGTTGAACAAGTGTTAGCCGTTATTTTAGAAAACTTTTTTTTAATACATTGTAATATATATGGATTAAAATAATCTATGTTGACAGAGTTCAGACAATATTTTGGATAAATATTGATGTTTTAAGAAAAATTCAACCGCAATTTTGAAGGGGGGGGGGTATATGCTGAGGTGTGACGTCTTTTTAGTGTTGGGGTCTGGCTTTTTGTGACGATGTGTGACGGAGGGGAGGGGGGAGGTAGAAATCGTCAAAAAAGCGTGACGTCATTTATGGATGACCCCCTTAGATAGAAGTGTTATTTTTAACCCCGATTTAAAGTAAATGACTTCTTGACACTTTTCAGCGTGTGTTACATTTTGTGGTTTAACGCTCATATTAATTTTTTTCTTTCTATTATTTTCAATAAGAAAAAAGGGAGATAACTCGTTTAAGCACATGATAAATCAGTCACGTGACCGCTGTGAACTTGTTGTCACGGATGGTTAGTTTCATACAAGAGAGCCGACACCGGACATTAATTATGGCCGATAATTGTCTTTAAGATTGCGGATAGCAAGCCACTGGTTGACCTTCAAAGTAAATATGTTTTAGTTGTAAGAACCCGGATGCACAAAATAAATTACCTAGTTATTAAAAACTAATTATCACCTTATTTTAAGTTTAAAATGCTTACTTAATAAAAAGAAGAAAATGAATAAATATAAAAACTTTTATAATAGTAAATGCGCTGAAATAAGAATAAAACAAAGGTGCTTTCTTTGGTTAAAATCATTAGTCATTTATGAAAATGTTTATAAATTTTAGCGCCCAAAGCTTTTACTAAGAGTCAGCTAATAATACCAAGAAAAAGAATGTTTTATAATATCAAGTTTTTAAATTTACTCAAATTAGATTAATATTCAAAAAACTTTCCCTCCTTATTAAAAGCGTTAGTCGCTAAAAATATTTAGTAGAGCGACCAACTCCTTTATCAAATAATTAAAGTTTGTCTTGTATATTTATTTAATTTAAAATTATACATTTTTTAATGTGTTCTATTTATAAAATTCAGAGTTCTCACCAAGGATGAACATTTAAAAAATCAACGCAATTTT